CCCGGGGGGCCTCGGCCGCCGCTGGTGAGTGTTCGCCCTCCCGGGGCTCGGGGGTCGCGCCGCCCGCCTGGCCGGGGCCCCGGGGGCTGCGATGGGAGCCGCGGCGCATCCTTCCTGAGCCTGCCCGTGCCCGCGCCGAGCGCTGGGGTTCCTGCCGAGGTCGCTCACCTGTGCTCAGGTGACGGCCCCCACCTGAGGACGCCTGTCCGGCCGGGGACTTTTCGGGGGCTCCGGCCCACCCCACCCCTAGGCCTGTGCCATTAGAGAAGTCTCCGGCCGAGCACGTTTTCGTTTTTCGCTTTGTTGACCCGTCCTTTCCCCGCTCCGTCCACGCCCCCGCCCGGAAACCCTCACCCCTGAACAACCCCGAAAGCTCGACCTTGGGACCAGCTTCCTCTCTTACCTTTTGTTGGGCAGGTGTGATATCCTTGGGGATGTTTCTTACGTAGTTTATTTTCATTCTGCAGCCAGGCGTCCTCTGGGAGGGTTAAGGCCCTTTTTCGTTTAGAGTTGGTACCCTTTAGAAAATAGACCCCTCGAAACACTGGTTTCATAAAGTATGTTATTTGGTGACGAAGTTAGAGATGAACGTGGGTCCTTTACTGCCTTACAGTGGCGAGTCTCAAGCCCTTTTTTGGTCAAAAATAATTTTCTTTTTTAACTGCGAAGTGCCATTTTTATATGTTACTAACTTCCAGCCGCACAGCGTGGCACCCGTCTCCCTTGAAAGCATGCATGTGTCTTCCTCTTTGAAACCAGACATTCCTTATGTTTTAGAATGTGTGCGGTAGATCTTTGCCACATAGTCACAGTGATAGAACACCAGGGTGTCAAGGAGTATTCTTGTAATGTTCGTACAGGCCTAAACTGTCTCAGTGTGCAGCCTGTTTTCTTTTCTAAAGCAGGTGGTTTCTGTAATCGGTGAGTTCTCACACAAAGAAATAGCAACAAAACTCTGTCTTGTATTCATTTTAATAAGTTGTGGCATGTATCGTGCCTTAAAATAAAAAGGCAGTGTCAATCAATTTTCCACCATTCCCAGACTATGAAGAGCTATTTATAGCTCCTTCATGGCACTGGTTATTCAAGAAGCTTTTACATTTTATAGGTTCAGTGCTAGGCAGCGGATTCTGCACCTTGTGAAACTGGTATCACAGTTCTGACAGATACTAAAGGTTAGAGAATCTTGTAGAATTGACTGTACTAACATTGTTGAATTTCTGTTTACAACAATATATTGGGGTTTTTTTTAGCTACTTGACTGGCTAACAAGATAGCGTAACAAATCAATATGGTCAGTGTTGATAACATGCTAAATAGATTTTGCTTGTGGTCTTTACTGATATAGCTTGAATATGGCTTTTAAGTTACATTTTAATTGTTATATTCACTGATTTATTTTTGTTTTGTTCAGGGTAAACTGAAAGTTTACCAAATACATATATATGTGTTTTTTTTCTGAGTAGGTATCTTTTTGGTGCTCTTTTTATAGTGATAACTTGCTCGTGCTTCTTGAGTATTTATCATATGATGATTATAAAGATAAGAAAAATGTATGCCATGCTATAATTGGTCATCAGTCACTCATTTATTGTGCTTATTCATATTCATCAGTGGCTGACTGTATATTAGCATTATGATTGCTTTCATATCTTCGAGATGAACATTCTGAAAATTGCTCAACAGTGTGTTGTCACTTCAGGTTACCCACATTTGGTTACTGAAATGCCTTCAGGAAAATACATGATTGTGGTTCATCTGTTTTTGTTTTAGGACGTCAGTTTCGCAGATAAATATTTTTGACATTGATGCTGATTTTTTTAGCCTGTGCTTAATAATATTCTATGCTTGTTTCTTCCTACTAACCAAAGAAAAAAACACCTAGAATTAAAAAAAAAAAAAATCCCTTTCACTAAACTTCAAGGATTTCAAGGTCTAATTGTCTGATTTTCGTCTTCAGTGCAATTCCTTGCAACTCAGTTGGTGTTCCCTAAATATTTCTTTTTTTTTTTTTTTTTAAAGATTTTATTTATTTTATTTTTTCCCCCCAAAGCCCCAGTGGATAGTTGTGTGTCGTAGCTGCACATCCTT